TATGTTGTATTAAAATATATAGACAAAATCGAGTAGTTTTAAATAAGTTTATTATTATTTTTTAAACATTATCCACTATGCATTTCGTTTAGTCAATATTTTCGTTTTTATTTTATCTACAGTAATTAGACCCATTTGTCTAATTGGATTTATCTGTTTGGTAAAGTGTTTTGTTGATATGAATAGGTATGGTATTTATATAAATCATATTTATTATTTTTAATATTATTTTGATAATTTCATAAACTTTTTGTTTTTCATTTTGCTATGTAATAAATATATTACATTTTAATATAATTATATAAATCATATTTATTATTTTTAGTATTATGTATATTATTTATATAAATGATTAAATGTGAAAATATAACTCTTAAAATATTATACTTCAATATAATTTGTTTATTCACTAAAATGTTTAAACTCATATTAAAAAATAAAATGTTCTATTTTAATTATATGAATATTAAATTTAAGTACGAAAATCCGAATATGGAAGATCTCATTATTGTTTCGGAAAGCACAAATCTCGTGATTATTGGTAAAAAAATATTTTAGTTGCTAAAATTTCGAAAACATTTATTATAATATGGGTTTATAGAAATATTGTAATCACAAACGTATAATGTCATATATAGTAACAAATGAATTAGAATTTGTACAAATCTAAACTACACACAAGAAGAATCAAATAAACATAAAGGATCCGAAAACAGAGACTGTTGCAAGGAGTAATTCAAATCCCAGGATCAAGGTTCGATACATTCAACGACTCTTTCATGCATTTCTCGAGAGACAATCTTTCACTCGACGAAGGAGGGCTCGGTCTTTCGCCTGAAATGTTGTCCTTCGATCTTAGTTCGTTCTTTGTTACGTAAGCTGTTAACTGCTACTGTGAGGGATCTTGAACCGGGAAGGAGACGGCAGTACTGTGATTGATGATTGATGAAATCAGCAATGTCTATCTTCAGCTGCCCGAGAATCAGCCTCAATTCATCGATATGATCTAATCACACAAACCGAGCTCCACAATTTCAATAAGAAAACCTCTCTTTGTGGGATATCAAACCACCACTCTATAGCTCAAGAGTCATAAATGACAACTTGTCCAGCTACCTTATCATTAACATTTGTATCTTAGCCTTTTGGACTCACTTTTTCTGACTAAAATGAACACTAAACAACTTCCATAACTTGCAAACAACCATAAAAGAGAACTTACTATCCAACAATTACACTATGTTAAACACACGAAAGCAATCAAAGCATACACAAAGCCCATACATTTAAGAGTATGTGAGAGTGAAACAAACCTGGAAAATCAACCCAACGATAGTTGTTCCAGTCTTGAGAAATCCAGGGGCTTTAAGACCCTTCTGTATAAGCATAACATTCATTTTACACAGACCGAAGCTAAACCCACCTTTTGGCGGTAAATCGACGGTAGATTGCGACATTCTCCGATTCACCACTCTAGAAAATCAGGAAAATTTGGAAACATCAGATGATCGATCACCCAATAATGTAACAAACTGATATTTTCGGGATCAAAATCGAAGAAAACCAAAGCTTAAGAAGAACAATTTCACCTTGGTTTGACGAATTGCGAGATGAAGAAAACTCGAATCGGAGAAGCAAATCGTAGAAGAAGTGTAGAGCATAATAATATAGCAGAGATTTCTTCTTCCTCAATTAAACACCTCTTTTGCTAAAACTACATAAAATAATTTAGAGGTAATAATTAGCTTCGAGATANACCTTTTTCTTCTTGTTAGAGATGACATTCTCTTTGTTCTGGTTATCCTTCTTTTCTTCATCTTCATCTGAATCTGAATCAACCTTCTTCTTTACATCTTCTTTCTCCTCAGGCTCATCCTTCTTACCATCGTCCTATCATTTGATCGAACATCTTGTAAGCATCCAAATTCAGTGCTAACTCTCAGAAACATTTGATCGAACATCTTGTAAGCATCCAAATTCAGTGCTAACTCTCAGAAGCATTTGATCAAACATCTTGTAAGCATCCAAATTCAGTTCACCACCAGTTAGAATTTTGTCCACAATATCCAATCTCTTTCCGAAAACCTTCAACTAATAGCATTTCAACGTTCTGAACCTCAACGTGTCGATTCTCAATCCCTAATTCCATCCCTAACAGATAATCGCAGTGACTTTGTTCCAAGTCAGAGATCGATACCTGGTTGTGAAACAATTTGTTTCGTGGCGTGAATTGATTCTGGCTAATAGAGAGAACTGCTTCCTCTTTAATCACTTGCTTCTCCATCGATTTTGATTCATTCTCTACATTGGCACTTGAATCTTCGTCGGAAATCAACTTTGGCATCGATTCTGCAACATGAATTACTTCGGTTTCCAAAGACAATGATTCATGTTGCTTCCGCGAATCCATGAATTCTTGCAGACTTCATTGGCATTTAATTCAAGGATTTTCGCTTGAATAATCACATGGAGAGAGATCGATTGTGAGAGAGAGATGGAATTCTCACGAAGAAGAAGAATGTTCGTCGCGACCCAGTTTTTTTTTTTTGAATATTACATTTTTGCCATTAATGAATTCGGGTCATCGAACCGGGTCGCGCATGATCCGCATATCTGCACTCGGATCCTGTTACAAAAATGTCTGAAATTGATCTGTTAATTACTGAAATTGCCACTGCATATATCCAAAATTACCCTTTTCAATTGAATCTCTTTAGTTAAAAAACAATGACAATTTCAGTAATATTTGAATCAATTTTGGACATTTTGCTAAATGTACTTCTGTATAAATATTAGAGATAATAAATTGTGTTAGAGATTAATGAGAAGTTTATGCAAAAATGGTTAGAAAACGTT